TATGTAGGCCTGAATCTACACATTAAATAAAACTTACAATTGAACAGTTCGGCATTTCAATTACGTTTTAATTTTTAAAATTTCTAATTTTATATTTAGATTTAAGTTAAAAAATTCCACCTTTTCGAAATAAATCGAACCTCATCATAAGCACCTAGTGACAATATACTCGTATAATATGCAGCGTATTCAGTAAGGTGACAGTGAGCTGCCCCGAAGGTGATAATAGGCTCACTGATTATAATTATTTAATTCAACCAATCATTGGCTTCCGGGTTGATCAGAACAGCTTGTCCAACGAAACAATGATAAGACACAGATATTGTTTTTCCTTCACTAATTTACCAGGTGACACCAGCATTGATTATGTTTCAAATGACTACCAGGCTGTACAACAAACGCATTTAACTTAACCATCATACATTGCTGTACCTGTATCAAAAATAATTGAAGACTGGTAAACAATGTTAATTGTACTTCCATGCCGCAGACGCACTTAGGCGTCACATTGGGTCCCCGTTTCTCAATGTCGAAGAACTAGTGCTCGAAATAATAGGTTCTGAGCTGCGCGGCATTGGGGTCTTGTCAAGGGTGTGAGCAATGTCATTATCGTACAAGGGAATACCGCGATGTGAGATGTCGAAACCTGTCCAAATATTTTTTTTCATCGGAAGCACATGCCGTATTAATCTCACAATCAAACTTTTGGGTGCCGATACACACTGCAAGTCAATTAAACAACATCATGAATTTGCAAATTGGCCCTATGCTTTCACCTATGTATAAATGGCCAACCCTGCAAAGGTGTTACCCAGCGCGCTCGTTTGTGATTCAACACCACTGCTCGCTCCAAGCGGCAGACTCTGTTTCCAAGGCCGTTTCCTGCGAGGGGCAGACGGGGAGGCAGCTGCCCCTCCTAGCAGCTAAGATAATAAAGCTAATATTAACTATACATAGGGTAAACTACTAGTACAAGTTTTTCCGAATTTTAGTTTTATCTGTTGTTCATTTTTGAAAAACTTACATTTCGCCGTGATAAACCTTGGCGCATCTTCCATGCAACATGAGCTACCTTCCCTGGAGCTCTTTCCTCACGAATTTGAGAGCTCTTGTCTGCGTCTTCTGCGAAACAGGTCAGTTGTGTAATCACACGCGAAAGGTCTGTGCGGTAGAGTTGTAAGTATTTCGGAATTTTCGAATGAGAAAATTGATTTATCGACACAAATTAAAGCACGGTAATTTTCGCGAACAAAAAACCAAAATGAGTCCATGACTCTTGAATTTGATTCTCAAAACAACTCTTAAATCTCTTGTTTACTAATTTAAATATAAAGTGTTACCGTGGTTATATGATATGTTTTTAATATTTAATAATTATGCATATTGACGATATTCATAATGAAAAAAGTAACAAACTTTCATTGGTAAGGAAATAAAATATCTCAAATAAAATCGACTTTTACAATAAGAAAAGCATTGATGGTACTGGGAATGGCTTGCTCCCATAGAATGCCATTTGACCTTGAGGAAACAACCCTCTACAACGCCAACCTCGGCCCCCGCGCGCTCGCCACTCGGCTTGCGAGGGCTGTCCAAGTTCTCTGTAGAAACGAAAATTAGTACGAAAATGTTGGCAAATATGGAAATTTTTAAAGAAATTGGCAGTATGTATCGGAAGCCAAAATTTACATCGTGGTATCAGAACGCAAAATGAAAAAATAAAAATATTAGGGCATGTTTCGACATGTCACACCGCGGCATTCCCTTGTTAGTGTTTCGCTGCTGTGAATTGGAGCTCGTGTCCATAAGAGCGCATATTCGCTCGGTGTACATTCTCACACGGGTTGCAAAAACCCCGCGCAAACGGTGTTTTGCGTCGCGAAAAGTGTCGAACTTTCGCATTTTTTTCAGTAACGTCCAGTGTGTGACATCCGTTAGTTCTTTATTAGGGCATCGAATTAGTGAATATCTATTTTTAGGAAAAAAGTAGGCCATATTTCGCCCTGCATTTGTTGAAAAGTTCCTTTTTAGTGTCACGTACGAGCGACGCTTGGGGTTCCTGTCCGCCGCATGCCGGGAGTTGGTTTCTGAAAAACCAAAAGCAAAAATGACCTGGCTTTACGAGTAGAGTAGTTGTTACTTTCAGGAAATCTATTATTTGCTTTTAATTCAAAAGTATTTTATTAGTACATACATACTGTATTTTACTTTATTTCTTCTACGAACTCCGAAGTTTTTTAGAATCTCTTTTTATATGTTATTAATATTTAGTATGTCCTATGCATACGATTTTTGAAATTATTAGAGAGATCACTTAAGTAACAGTAATGAAGAAAACTAAACGTGGTTGTGTAGAAAACTTTATCGCATTTTACAGTCACAATCACCTGATACGTAGAATAATGCACAGAAATAGTACGAGTAATATTGTAAGTTTATAATTACATTGATTAATTAAGTTATAACTATAATATACCATGGAAAAATAAAACGTGTTTTGACATATTCTTGTATTAAAACATTGTATTCATTGACACTGCAACAAAAATGTGATACGTATGCTTAAAATAAAACAGGCAAATCAAGGTCGCGAGCAAGGTAACTAGCGTTCTAGAGTTCACAGGCACTGCGTCCAGAGTACCTGGCGCGATATTTCTAAGTAAGGATTGTACAAAGCTTCGAAGTGGCTGTACATCACTGAATACATGAACCATTATACTTTTTTCGAGAAGTCACATGACTGTTATTGCCACAAATTTAGCTAGTATATTAATTAACATTTACTCTACTCAAGCAAAGAAATAATTGATTAAAATGTAATAAAGTTTCAGTCTGATTTCCAATTGTCAATTAAAATGAAATTAAATATTTTGAATCGAAGAATCTTCATTTTGTGATCTTGTTTTTTAAGAGTGCAATAATTGTATTAATTTCCTACGTAAAAATTAGGAGGTTTAACAAAAAAAATCAGTTAAAAGTGCTGTCCGTCCGTAAACAAGAATTGTTAATTTATAGAGACTTGTTAATTTATTTCACGTTATTGATACAAATAACGCAATAAAAACACAAAATAAAAACAGGTAAAAAATTGTAATTCAAACATATTCCTGCCTTCTAGCAATTTTTTCACAATTTAGAATTTAAAAGGAAAATTAATATCAAATAGTAATACATTATTATTATTATTATTATTATTATTAACCCGTTTATCCCTATTTTGGCAAGGGTCTCTTGCACAGGGCAAGGAAGTTTACATTAAAAAGTTGGTCCTCGAGCAGCCACCTCGAGGACCTTAGTAATACATACCAAACACATTGTAACGTTTCTCCGTGGTGAATTAAAACACTCTCAGGTAATATTTAACAAAAAACTTTATTCGTAAACAATGTTACACTAAAATATTTGACTGATTTACAGATAGGTTACACAGTTCTTGGGTTCATCACTTGATTATTTTCCTTACACACGAGTCTGTTCTCTTGATTATTTATTTACACGGCTCATTGATTATTCTCTTACACAATTCACTTCTTTTACACTATCGTACAGTCTGATGCACTGTCCACGGACCACCGCGCTGACCACAATTCACTGCGCAGACCACAATTCTCTGCGCAGACCACAATTCACGGCGCTGATCAGGGTCCACTGCACTGCTGTTCACCGCGAGGCACACTTCACAGCTTAACTTGCGACTTCAGGCTGCTGTTCACCTACTGCACCATTATTCACTGCAATGCACACTTCACAGCTCAGCTTCCAATTCAGACTGGCTTAGACTGCTTACTCACTGACGACATACACTAACTGGCTGCTGACCTGCAGCCGCCGGCAGCGGCGAATTTATACCTGGCCGGCACCCGTGTTGACTCATCAGGAACTTTCGCAACACCTCTAAGCGACTCACGAATAACCCAGTTCAAAGGGCGCCGGCAGATGACGCAATCCGCGCAGCGAATCACGGCAGATGATGCAATATTTGTTATAATATATTCATAATTCAAATCCCGGTTGTATAATATAACAAATCTGACACATATTTCCGTATGTAACCACTATTCCAACCCTCGCGTCGCTTCAGCTTGCGCGTTTACACCCCTATCTGGATTTCGAGGATTAATGAGAGCGGAGTCAGGGGAAGTTGAACGTGCTCCGAAGACCGCCGGGCTACGCACAGGGCTAAAACTTTCGTGCGTGCGAGGTTTGACATGCCTTCATTAAATGCTTAAAGCATACAGTGGCTCACGTTAATATTCGGACAGCCACAAATACAGAAGGCATTTCTTGTTTGACTGTAATGTTTCGCACGTGCGCGGAAGTTACATGTGAGGAAATGCATAGGAACTATCTATATCATTAGAACAATGCGTATCTTCCCAACCGTGCACTTGTAATTGCACACAATTCATAGACACTACATCCAGTCACAACAAAAAAAAGTGTTTTAGATTATGAAATAGAATTTCCTTGCCTTCCTGATCCACACAACCCTTTTTACCATCGATAAATTCACGCACAAACTAACACAAACAGGTTAGGAAGCGCGCCAATACAAATCACGTTAAGTTGCGCATCTTAACACACCTGATAATAAATACATTCCTACTGAGCTTACGGACCGTACTAATTTTAGCAGATAGCCACGGCCGCCATATTTCCTCCATTCTCAGTAGGAAGTTATCCTCCTGTTACTCAGTTTTATCTGTTTCTCAACAGCCACATCAAGACACTGATCAATCGGGACCCAGTCATTATCTCAGGAGAACAGAAAATGAATTTGGGCGGTCATTTGGCACCTATACAACATGTGAACAGATTACAATGTGCTTCGTAAAATACTAGCAGTCTCCTGACAAAACAACATCCCTTTCACCTTCTCTTTCTCCACCCCATTCTCCACTCCAGGGAAGCAACACAGTCACTGCCGCCATCACCATCGTCACTCCACAGTGAGGAAGGGCGTTGAGGACGGACAATGAGGGTAGGCAATGAGGACAGCGATGGGGATGGGCAAGGAGGACGGACAGGGAGGACGTACAGGGAGGGCGTACAGGGAGGACGTACAAGGAGGACGGACAGGGAGGACGGACAGGGAGGACGGACAGGGAGGACGGGCAGGGAGGACGGGCGGGGAGGACGGGTGAGGAGGACGGGTGGGGAGGACGGGTAAGGAGGACGGGCGGAAGGTGAGCGGGAAAGAAGGGCTAAGCGTTTTCCCCCGAAATTCTTCCCATGATATTCTCAAAACTAAATATTCGACTGATTGAAATGAACCTCCAGATTGTTTGTAAAATACTTTTACATCTACCCATACATCGTTAAATCAAAAACACAATGCTTTCTATAAACAAGAGTATTTCGAAACGGCGATAATTTAAACACTTTTCAAAAGTAGGGGCGCTACAGAATGGTATAGACTTTCCCGAATCAGTGTACTAATTTCGTTGGTTTGGGCTAACTTATCGGGCTTGCGCCATCTTCTTGCCTGTTGCCATCTATCACCGCCCAAAGTATATTTTTTCAAAATGTTCTCAATTTTTTAGCTTCCTATTAGTAGAGCAGATAAAAATATTAAACAAGAGAAAAACCTCATCCTACATGGAAATTTTTGTTGAAAAATTTCGAGCCGTTTTAAAAAAATGGCATTTAATCGTCACTGTAAATTCGAAAATTCAAACTCTTTTTCACAAAAAAATTAGAGTTTTCGAAAAACTTTATTGGAAGTCATTTAAAGTACTTCCAGTCATAAATGAAATAATGTTTACAAATTGCTGGCAAAGTGCATATTAACGAAGTAAGATATATTTAAAACAAATACATTTGTGAAATTTTTGAAAATACAAAATAATACACCAAAATAAATTTTATGGCATATTAAAGAGTGCAATTATCACTATTCATACGAAAAGTTCGAAGAAAGAATTTGGGCTATTTTTGAAAAAATGGCATTGGAGCTCTTCTGAAAATACAGAATTTTGGGCTCCGGTTTAACAGAAGCTTTTTGTGTGCTGGAGAACTTTATCAGACATCGTTTAGAGCATATGTGCTCATAAATGCAATAATGTGAATAAATCGCCGCTAATGTAAATATTAATGACGTCATGAATGACGTAATGAAGTCAAACAAATTATTTTTTTGTGATTTTTGAAAAACAAAGAAATAGAGCAATATAACATTTATTCCATCTTATAAAGTGCCGCACTTAGCATAATTCCTACCAAAAGTTGAAAGTAAAAATGTGGAGCCGTTTTAGAGAAAATCATATATTTTTTAATGTTGCTTATATTGATTGCAGTATTGCGCGAAAACTACTTAAATATTCAAAAAAATATACATATCTTTAATGAAAGAACTAACTATGGGGAAAAATTTTACTTGAAGGAAAAATCTGTATCTTCAATGTACAAATACTAAAAAAGAAAACAATAATTCCACCCATGAACTCACCGAAAGGCAAGTTATTCACCCCCACCGACAAGGCAGAGGAAATAGCCAATTACTTTGAGTCAAATTTCACACTCAACCAATCTAAACTGCACCCGGATCACAACACAATAATACAGTCAATAAACCTCCCAAACTACGGCCCATATCACAAAATTCATTACACAAACCCTAAAGAAATACAACACATCATTAACTCTCTCCCGATAAAAAAAAGCACCAGGTCATGATAATATCAATAATTCAATACTAAAACACTTACCACTCCAGCAATTGCATACTTAATAAATATATATAATTCATGCTTCAGAATAAATCATTTTCCATCCACTTGGAAGCATGCCATTATTCTTCTGGTTCCGAAACCAAATAAAATTCAGCCAACACCGACAGTTATCGCCCAATAAGCCTTCTACCATCACTGTCTAAAATTTTCGAAAAAATAATACTCCAACGACTTAAAAAGCACCTAATAATAACAAAACCAATCCCAAGAGTGCAGTTTGGATTCACTGATCATATGTCTATACAACATCAACTCCTCAGAATCACAGAACATCTCAACACAGCATTTCAGTAAAAAAAATCATACAATGCTCATATCATTCGACATAACACAGGCATTTGATACAGTCTGGCACCAGAGACTAATATATAAATTAAAGAAAACAGGCACTCCACACTACATCACCTCAGTAATTCAAAACTATATATTTAAATGTTACTAATAGGCTTACGTTTCATCAATCGACCTTTTACCATGAAAGGTCAGCATCTTCAGGCAATTCCGCGAAGTCTTCGTGAAGCAGCAAATCATGTTCGAGGTTTCACAGATATACAACATCTTACGGATACATAATTGAAGTTTATAACTGCATTAATAAAGGGGCAGTTTAATGATCTCATTGTTTTTTGCGAACCTATTCCGGTAATAGGTTCCGGTAATATCATCCGAGACCGGTTCTGGTGGATATAGATAGATTTCCAATCTAGAACTTATGGTATTTTTGTGCAAAATGCAACAAGGATTATCGAATGAATTTTTGAATATTTCGTTACTTAACCAGACAAGCAGTTAGCTTAGCTGTCACAATCGTCCGTGCTTCGCTTATGATAAGATTTGTGCCATAAAATGTAGGTTTAAGTGCAATATCTCGATAGAAATTCATTAATCACCATGACACATAATTTGCAAATCAGCTTTACAAAACTTTTTCTAATGAGAGAAAAGCAATTGTGTGTATTCGTATATTCATAAAAGCTCCAACTTTCGTGCCTTACGGACGTCGTAGTATTTGCATAAAAGACGTCAATTAGTGAAACCAGCTTTAGTAGTAGCACCAGATAAATACATCCTTGCTAATCAAGGTCCTTATTTTTCCGATGCAAGAAATAATGATGCATGGATACTATTCGATGAATTGCAAAACGATAGAGATGGTATGAGAGAATGGTTCGGAGAAGGTGATATTTTTATAGTTAACCATGGTCACCGCGATGCTGAATTTTATATTCAAAAGTTGGGTATACATGTTAAGGTGCCTGGCTTCACAAGGCTAGGACAAGTGTTAACTACGGAAGAAGCGAACTAACCGATTAGTCACTACAATCACTTTGGGTCATCAAAACTCGAAATGGGCATATTAAAAGTATTTTCAAGATTTTTGATAATATAATTGCAATTCCTCACGTTGATCATCTGAGGGATTTTCTTTTAATAGCCGGTGCTGTCATTAAAAAGTATTACCCTCTCGTGACCATATGCGATGCTAATCAACAACTGACTAATCGAATGTTTGAAAGGGCTCGTGAACTAAACGTGGTACAAGCAAGAGGAGAGGTCGACAATCTCAGCAGAAGAAACACACAATGGACTCGTTTGAATCATAAGGACATACCACAGTTTCCTAGACTCTCACTTGATTACTCGAAGAACCCTCGGTACTTACCAAGTTCGCCTTAGCTCATCGTACATTCAAGATAAGCTTCAACACGATGAGAACACGATGAGATTGATAACCTTACATCAGACGAATCTTTTCTGAGAAACAGTGTTTACTCTCGTTTTCCCCTACAACACAAAGTACCAGATATTTATATCTTATGACAACGAAAATCTGCAAGGAGTTAAAATCTCAAACGGAAATTCATGAATGGTTATTATTGCACTTGCAAATCAGGAGCCAGAGCACTTGGGAGTTGTTCTCACGTTGCTAGTGTCTTATGGCTCTTAGGATATGCTAGACATCAGCAAAATATTCGATATTCAACTGCTGCTCTTGTAGAAAACGTTTTAGATGCACCACACAGATTTAAATGATAGAAATATTATTAAAGTTGAAGTAGAGAACTAAAATGCAAAATAGTTCGATACACGTGAGAGGCAAAGAGACGAAACACCCCGATTGTGAGAGCCAAAGGGACTCACGATAATCAAGTACCCCGATAGTGGGAAACAAAGGTACTCACGATAATTAAGTACCCCGATAGTGAGAGGCAAAGAGACTCATAATAATCAAGTACCCAATAGTGAGAGGCAGAGGTACTCACGATTATCAAATATCCCGATAGTGAGAGGCAAAGGGACTCATTGTAATCAAGCACCCGGATAGTGAGAGGCAAAGGGACTCACGATAAACAAGCACCCCGATAGGGAGGCAAGGAGACTTATGGTAATAATTAACCCTACCGTGTAAGGCAAGGAGACAGACGGTGATCAAGTACCTCAACATGAAAGGCAAGGGCGGTCACTGTAATGAATCACAGTGACTCACGGGAATGAAATTATGCCCCTTAATTTTCTTTATATTTGGGGAGAAATATCTTTTTGTATATACCATAACAATGACGAAGTGTTTAGTGTGTTCTAAAGAACTGCAGGATGTTTAAAAATTCAACTTACAGAACAATACGCAGCTTTGCAACCCAGAGAATCCAGCGAGATGTAAATAATTTCTGAGAATTGATAGAGAGCCTGCAATCATGAGTAAAGAATATTGCAGATGGGAGATTATTAAAAAGGTAGTGAAAATTGCGAGTAATTGAAACATTTTCAAACAAATCAGTATATGAAATAATTAAGCGTGGAATCCAAATTCTCCCACGGCAATATTCTTGTCAATAAGAAAATGCGATAAACCAAGCTCATATCTCAAGACCCCTCCAGGGTATCTATTTGCGTCTAGTATTTATTAACATTGATTATTGGTTCGGGACGAACTAAATTTGTAATATTGTATAACAATGTATAAAATATTATTGTATTAAAATATTAAAACTGTCTTCTCCAAAAAAGTTATGTGTTAGAAGAATGAAAGTGGAATTAAAGGTGCTGTATATGATAATCAGAGTCTGATATTACTTTGAGTTATGTAATAATCTATGTAATAATATATTTATTTATTTTTTAATTTTTTCATATTTTTATTGAATCAAATAATTAAATATTAATTACGATTTAAAAATGCAATTATCGAACGATTTCCCCCCACTTCCGTACCATCATTCGAACACTGTATACCCGCTGCCGCGTGCGGATATTTGAGACATCACAGAACATTGACTTGGCAAGCGCTGCACGAAACTGGAACAGAAAAATCAGAAATCTTTGCTGTGCATTTAGAAAATACCTTCAAAACATGCCCAATTTCCAATATACGATTGAATATGGGAACTGTAAATTACCTCAGTACTAA